GTGGGATAAAGTCCCAGAAATGGCATTAGTGAAGGCGGTGAATGCATTTGAAATTTGTCTAGATATTGCCAAATTCCATTTCAAGGGATTGTGTCATTTTGCACATTTGCAACACAATAGAAATGTAAGGTATTACAACGGCTTTATACGGTGGGTACCCAACAAAAGTGGTTGACAGATTATCACCATTTAATTATCTGTTGAAATTGTATATGTTCCTAATTGGAGACTAGACTGTGCCAAGGCCTTAGTGAGTGGTGGGTTTTCATTTAGACTATGCTTACAATGTTTTCTTACCATTCATCGTTCTTTTTTTCTCTTATTTTGTATTGTAATAGTAGAAAAATGTTTATTAAGCATAGCACCAAAGTTAGAAATCATAAAGGAAAAGATTAATAAATTTGATTTCATGAAAATAAAAAGTTTTAGTTGACTAGAAAGCATCCTAGACTAAATTAGAGTGAAAATTATATGATAGGAAAAAATGTATGCCACCATTATAATATATAAATATATAGTGTGTTATTACTGATCACTACGAAAAAGGCAAACACACCAGGTGAAATAGGCAGAGATGCCAGACAGGCACTTTACAAAAGAAAACTGTAAATAGCAAGCAAACACACATAAGAAAATTAAATAATTAAGGATGTGTACAAAGATTTAGTTGCAAAAATATTTATAGCAATGTTGTTTCTAAGCATGAAAACACAATCCAGACTTCAACAGTAGGGGATTAATCATAATTGGTTTACTCCTACAAATTCAGCGCTTAAAAATTATGGTGTAGATAGATGTATTTTTTTTTAATCAATATGGAAAGAGATGCATTGAAAAACAGCTTGTGTGGTACTTTGTAATAAAAGAGTGTGTATGATGTCTCATTTTATTAAATGTATAGAGTCTACCCGCAGTAACTATCAAAGGCTATATGTAAAACGTGGACAGGGCTTATCCCAAGGTGGTGGGATTGTAGGCTGTTTTTAAATTTATTCTCTTCTTCTCCTCATCCACCTCTTCCTCTTCCTCCTTGTGTTGTTCCTCCTCCTCCCATGCTTCCAAAATCTGTTCTAATATGCGTTAATTATTTGGGTAATCTTTAGTATTTGAAGTCAAAAACCAATATAAGAATTCAGAAATTTTGATAGGAAAATCACCTACCCTGTTGTATAAAATTATCATTTTGTTATTTTTTGTAAGTTTTTTTCACCTGTGTATCTGGATTTGTAACATGGTTGTAATTATATAGGGTATATCATTTTTAATATACTTTACTTTTATCACTTAAATATTTCCCATGTTGCTACATAGCCTTTGCAACTTCATTTTAAATGACTGGCTTATGTTCCATGAAGCTGTTTCTCACTATTTATTAGGAAGTTGGAAATAGAACAATGCCAGTGAGGTTTTGCTTTCCTTTCTCGGAGGCTTTCCTCAACCTTGCATTATCACCATCAGGTGAAAGATTGGCAGTGATTTAATGAGGCCTTGACAGTCCAGCCTCCTTAGGTCCATGCTGCCAGACACATCCATCAGAGCAGAACAGAAACTTGATTTTGTCACATTCTTTTCAAAAATAGCCCTAAAAAACCCACCCCGTGTTAGCCACAAATCATTTGTTAGTGAGGTGAAGTACCTCGTAGACCAAAGACAGCGCAAGATAGAAAATTGACCTAATCATGAATGATGGTGTATTTATCCCCTTAATCAAGTCTGAGAGGTTAAATGTTAGATTTCTGGTAGCATTTCAGAAAACTGTTTTCTCAGGTAAAGATCTTCTTTCCCTTAAACTAACCTATTCACACCTCTTCTGTTTCTGAGTGAATCTGGCCTAATCCGTCTAGAGCTGTATCAACAACACCGTTTTTCTCTTTACAGACCAACACTACCCTTTTTCTTAACAAATACAGAAACATTGCCAGTTTTTTTGAAGGACTAACTTATTTTATTTCTCACTGCATATAAACAACCACTTTAAAGTTTAAGCAAAATTTAATTTCACCTTCGTTCCTAAAGCTGACTTTATCTATTTACCTGTTTCCCAAAATATAACCTTGGGATCCTTGTTGCAGATTTTTCTGTTCCGTTTTCCCTGGGGAACGCCTGTTCTGGTTGCCGAAGTGCTTAAGGGCTAGAAGCTGCAACTTTGTTCAAGTCAAAATGGCCACTTTAAACCTGCCTGAATGGGTACTTTGCTGCTTCCTTACACAGCCCTCACTTGGGTTTCAGACATACTGATCCTAATCTCAAACTCCCAAGACACACAGTATACAACAGTTAGAGCAGCCCCAAGTTCATTATCTACTCAGGGTGCAATTACTTGGAGGCCACCTAGACTGTGAGGTTTTTGTAGGCCCCCAGAGAATTCATATCCTGAAGAGAGAGACTAATCAGGCAGGTCCTAAAAGGGTGGATTGCAATTGATAGGAGTTTTAATTTGTGAGGACTTAATCTGATCTGCTTTTGGAACAAGATAGTGTAGATGTACTTATTGTCCATTTTCTCTGTGCATTCTTTGAAGACTCATTTGATTGTGTGATGATAGTATTGTCATAAGGACACAGAACTTTATTACATGAATCTGCCCCTGTCCTTCACCTGCCTCACTGTCCAGAGCTATGCTAGGGATTGATTTAGCCTGCATTCTGTGGGGGCGGGAGGATGACTGATGTCTCAAATGGTGTGGTATTCAGTAGTCTGGTCTCCATGTCCACTGAAAACTCCTTTTGGGGAGGGCAGATGATGAATTTCTCAGGAAGCAGTTACTTAGTATGCAGCAAGTACTGGCCCTTCAGCTGACCAAGTTGAGAGTTGATGTCAGTTGATAGAACTATCTATCCGTTGATAGAACTTACTGGCAGTGGTGCAGGTGACAGTAAGGGCCAGGTCCTTGACTGGCTGACGCAAGCAAAGCAGGGCCTTTGGAGAATATAATTAAGACAGAAACGAGAAACAGCACAGGCTACAGCGTTTGTCTGTGTTCCCCTCTCCTGTCTCCCCTGCCGAGAAGAAGAGAGCCGGATCAGGAGGCTTGCATCCACGGACAAAGATGTGTTCCCTCACGTGACTTGGAAGGAGCCCTTGGGCACTTCTCTGGGGTGTTTTCTTATGAGAACAGATACCCTGTGCCACATCAGAGCGAGCTGTCTTTGGCTTCTGTCAGAGGTGAAGAGGAGAATTGGGCACAGGGTGACCTCACCAAAATAGTTGTGGTTTTATGTCAGATAATGTCCTCTGTTGCACCATTTAGCTTACCTTCATGTTGCATTTTAATTACTTAAATCAGTCTGGCATTTAGAGCAGCAGTTGTCAAAGTTGTCAACCTCCCTTTGAGGGAGGTTGCAGGGTCTTCCCTTCTCCAGCAGCCTATCTGTATAAGGCCAGATTTTACTTCCTCTACTTCAGCCAGAACAACAGATTGCAGACAGAAGCAGATACAAGAATTCGTCTGTCTTCCATGAAGCCAGACATTAAATGGTAAAACAAAACCACTTTTCTAACTGAAGTTTAGTTTGTTTTGGAGAATATAATTATGTTTTCCTAAAAATATGTTATTTACATTCATGTTTTTTGATTCTTATGAATTAGTATTTTTAACTTAAGGTTTTAATTTCAAATACGGTAGGTATCAGTAGGTATTACCCACATAAACAACTTTTCACGGTCCTCAGTAATTTTAAGAGAATACATACAGTTTGTGTCCAGGGCTGAGAAGTTTGATAACTGCCACACCAGAGGACCGCCTTGAGAGAAATACCTACATCTGCTCTACTTCTCTTGGTTCTTTGTAGTGAGAAGGGATACAGCATATAGATTTGCACAGACACTGAGAGAAAAATGGCTCAAGTGTCTGGTGTAGAACAGGTGCCATGGGAAGATGGGCGATGGTGACGATAGTGATGATGACGAAGATGATCGCTAGTCCCTGTGAGTCCTTGCATGGGAGGAGCAGGACCCCTGTGTATATTCACAGTTCTGTGCTCTCTGCTCTCTCCTTGGCCGATTCTTGTTTCAAATACACACACTGTAGTCTCTCGCTTTAATTTTGCTCTATATATTATCAGTGACTCAAGTGAAGCAGTTTTCCTGCTGTTTAAGTGTGTTGGAATACGTTCCTGAAGGGGAATTTGTTTCATTCTAGTGGAGCCCAAGATATGGGTTAATCTTCCCAATGGGAAAGGGCAGATTTCTAAGATGGCTGGATAGCTGATGACGCCATGTTTTCTCTCAGCTGAGCTCCCGGCCTGGGTGCCGGTACAGCTGTGCCGGTCTCCAGTCCGCCCACTGGAGGTCCAGAAACGCTTGGGCCTTCCTGAGGAAGAGAGGTCAGGATGCTGTCTCAGTCTTCCAGTTCTACCTGATCTCACATCAGATTTCCCACGAGGCCAGCAAAGACTGTTATCATTTGACCTATACAGTATCATCTGCTAAAGGGGGCTCCTGGGAATGACGACATGGCCGCCTCGGGTCTCCTCTCAGCTCTCCAGCTTAGCTAGTTGTAGGAATTTACAGTAGCGAGAAAGGTAGGAGAACAGCCAGTGATGGTGAGAAGGTAGGTAAGAATGGACCCTGTGTGCTTGCCCTTCTGACCCTAGATGGAGATTAATCCCCGTGGTGTGGCTGTATGAACAAGAAGCGTTTCCACCTATCTTTCAGGGTCATGCTCTCTTTAGCCCTGACGGCCTGGACAATGGAACAGCATGGGATCTGGTAACAGTCTTAGGTTTAAGGCCCAGGTCTGAACCTCACCTGTGTGACTGGGACATGTCACTTAGTTACTCTGAGCCCCAGTTTTCTAACTGATAAAACTATAGCCTTGCCTGGCTTGTCTGCTTCACAGAATAGTTAATAAGACTGAGATTAAGTGAGGTTATAGATGAGAAAGCTGAAAAACATGTGCAAATACTAGTTTTGTAGCAAACTTCTTTATAGTGCCTGTGGGGTTTCTGCTCTTTTCCCCTTGCCCTCTGGATTCATGAGGCTTTTGTTCTTTTCTCCAGGTTACCTGTGCATGACAGATGAATGGTTCTCTGAATATGTCTACGAAGTGGTTGTGGACAGGAAGCATGTCCCTGAAGAGGTGCTAGCTGTGTTAGAGCAGGAACCCATTGTCCTGCCAGCGTGGGACCCCATGGGGGCTTTGGCGAAGTGATGCTGCCTGCAGCTCTTTCCTCCTCCCATGGGACCTGAAGTGACTACAAAGGACAGACCCAGGGACTGAAGCCAAAGTTACACGGGTTCCCACAGGACACAGTCAGATACTTGGATTGCTCTTCCAGGAACCTCTTGGAGAAGTGTGCTTTATGATGAAACAAAATATTCTTAAAGGGAAAGATCAGGTCACACTATGTACTCTCTTCATCTCCAACAGCTCAGGATCTCTTAGCATTTTAATCAGATGTAATTGTGTGTCTTAAGTCTGTCAAAAAGGTTTGGTTTAGTGTCTGTTTTAATAAGACAGGAGAGGATGAGCAATTGTAGAATATGGAGAGAAAATGGACCTGATGCTCTGTGTTTCTAGAGTAGAGTTGGGGGAGGGTTGTCCTAAGATTTGAGCTTTCAAACTGCATGCTGCCTGACAGTATCACTGTCCCTCCTAGATGGCAGTCACTGAATTCAGGTTTTTTCAAGGTAATTTTATATGCCTCTAATAGCCCAGGAATGGGAGGTTGATCAGATCTGACATGATTCCTTCCTGTTGTTTGGAACTGTGGGGGGGGAGGGGGGGGGCACAGCTCTACTCAAGTCAGGGTTAAGTAGAGGCTTAGAGAAAAAGAGGAGTGTGAAAACAGCCAAAACCATATCATGATCTGAATTCTAATCATTAAGGGGAGCTTGGCCAAATGGCTTACCTTCTGCCTCTGGAATTGGGAGTTGGGTGGGCAGGAAAAAGTGATACCATTCTTTCTGACAACTAGATGGTGCTGAGAAGCTTTTGAATAAAACACTTTGCTAAATGAGAGTAAGTGGCTTATTTGATCTAAGAGTTTCTTTAGCAACAAAGGAAAGCAGCCAGGTGACCCATGTTCTTCAAAATAGAAAACAGCAAGATAGTTCAGGGCTTCCCTGCTTCAGCTTCTGTATGGAATAGATGAGCCTTCCCAATCTACGCTGATCCTCACTGGCTTCTGCTAGGTCCAGCCTCGGAATTGGCTGAAGACTATGTATTTCACTGAGACTGGACATCCCTTTCACTGAAAGCAAAAAGTGTAGCATCCTAATCAACATTTCCATCAGTGCCTGAGCCCCCTGCCTTTCTGACTTTCTAAGAATCTTCTCGGTCCTAGCAGGGGATATTGTCTGTCACAGTACTTTCCAAGATAACATTAGATAAAGGCTCAAGTTTGAATCAAAGTGTTTATGATATTCTAGTATTCCTGTTCCAAGCAAGATAAATAAATCCATTTCTAGACACATCATGGCAAAACCCTAGAACAGATCTTAAAAGCATCCAGGAACACTGATTACCTCCCTCCAAAGAAAAGACAATTAGATTGACAACTAACTTCTCATCAGCAACTATATAAGCAAGAAGAAAGAGAAATATTTCTTCAAGGTGCTATGAGAAGTTAACTGTGAGCCTAGAATTCTATACTCCATGAAACTGTCTTCCAAAGATGAAATAAAATACATTTTCAGTCAAAAACTTACCCAAGGAGAAGGAAAGTGTTCCAGTATGAAAGATCTGAAATATGATAAATATGTGCATCATCTAAACAAAAAGTACGTGTAGGTAAGTCTAATAGGGTTCAGAGAAAGACAAAACTAAAATACATGAAAGCAGATAATTGTAATTAGGGAGGTCATTGAACTAAACATATTCTTTATATCATTCAGGTAGAAAATAAATATATTGATTAACTTTAGACTTTGATATGTTAATAACCTATCCTAGATTTCTAGATTTGTATATCTATTTTTAGTTATATAAAACGTATAAAAATATCTGTATCTAGATGTATAAAATGTTTATCTAAATTTATATATCTTTTTAATGTTTATATTTATTTTTGAGACAGACAAAGCATGAGTGGGGGAGGGGCAGAGAGAGAGGGAGACACAGAATCCGAAGCAGGCTCCAGGCTCCGAGCTGTCAGCATAGAGCCTGACGCGGGGCTCGAACTCATCAACCACAAGATCATGACCAGAGCCGAAGTCGGACGCTTAACCGACTGAGCCACCCAGGTGCCCCTCTAAATTTATATATCTTATATACCTATTTAATATATCTATATTTCTACATTACTACTAAAAAATAAGCAGGATATAGTTTCTAAGCAAGAATATAATCAATCCATAAAGAGACAACATGGTGAGAGAAAAAAAATGCAGGACCAAGAAAGTGTCCAAAATAAGATAGAGATAAATCTAAATGTGTCAATAATTATATATAAATGTGTTAAATGTCCCAGAAAAAAGACACTGTCAAACTGGAGTTTTAAAAAAATAATTCAGCCATAAGCTGATTATAAGAGACATCAGCAACCCTGGGATATAAGAAAGGATAGGAAAGATATATCAGGCAGATACTAACCAGAATAAATCTGGTGTGGCTCTACTAATAATTACCAAATTAGGGCTACTCTGAGTAACCAGACTGATTCCAGAGTATGTTATTCACAGCCTCCCTGGAGTTGTACAACACGATGGCCCTGGAAGTAGGCTTTAAAACAAAAAGCATTACTAGAGATAGAGTCACTACATAATTATATGTTTACTTGATTCTCTGGAAAAATATGAAGATTCTAAATTATAAATTAGTATGTACCTAATAACATAACCTCAAAAAATATAAAGCAAAAATATATGGAAAAATAAGCCAGTATTATAATGGAAGATTTTAATTGTTGATAGGTCAAGTAACCAAAAACTCAAGTGAAAGGTTTAAGCATTTAGTAAGGTTGGTGTAATGGACATCTATTTAGAACACTGCATCGAATAACTGCCCATTCTTTTTGAGCACACATGGAACTTTTTCAAAAATTAACTATACGCTGGAAAGTAGAGTCAACCTCACCAAATTTCCAAGCAGTTAAGTTAGAAACTAAAGAGATAACTAGAAGGTTCCTATATGTTTAGAAATTAGCTCTTAGGTCCAAGAAGAAATCATAAAGGAAATTTAACCTAAACAATGATAAATACTGCATATCAAAATGACAGATACAGCTAAAACAGTACTTAAATTTTATAGTATTAAAATTTTATTAGAATGGAAGAAAGACTGAGAATTGAGCTAAGCATCTATGTCAAGAAATTAGAACTGCAAAATAAATCTAAAAATAGAAGGAAATAAAATGTATGTGCAGAAATTGGGGAACCTGGGTTGCTCAGTCGCTTGAGCGTCCGACTTCAGCTCAGGTCATCTCATGGTTTGTGGGTTTGAGCCCCACTTCGGGCTTGCTGCTGTCATTACAGAGCCCACTTCAGATCCTCTGTCCCCCCTCTCTCTATCCCTCCCCAACTTGTGCTGTCTCAAAAAGTAAACATTAAAAAAATGTGCAGAAATTAAAGATAGGATCAACAAAGCTGTAAGTTAAGTCTTAACAAAAAAAAACAAAAAAAAAAACAGATCTTGGCAAGACTAATTAAAACACATACACAAGAAATCAAAAGGAAGATACCATGATAGATATTGCAGATATTTAAAAATTAGAAGATACACTTTGTTAAATGTGACAGTAGAGGGATTTGTTTAGAAGACCTAAATCCACAACTTGGGAGCAACAGAAGAGGAGAAACAATAAGCTGGAAAGCCCACAGAGGCACTGAACAATTTAGCAGAGCTGAAAAAGTTGAATCCTGAGCCAATGGTGGAGACAGCCAGTGCTAAGCAAACCAATTTACATTGTGTAATTCCCCAATATGGTAGTTCCAGATGACCTTTAAGGGAATTGGGAGTGAAAGAAGGGTTACTGAAGGTTGGGTGTGTCTGTTAGATCCCCTCCCTACTTTGGGCAGCTGGTGACTGTCCCTCCCTTGCTCTCTCAGCCCATTCAAGATTTATTCTCAAGAGAGAAAAACGGTTTATGCTCTGGAAGTCAGAAACATAACTGAGGAGGAAAGTACCATAAGGGGGTTAAGTGAGTAGTTACATTCTGAATGTTCTCTGCCATCTTGGGCTCCTAGAACTCTAGCACCCAGGAGATTGGAAATCTTCTCTGGGGAATCTTGATTAGCCCAAAAGGAAAGACGTAAAGAAGTATTTTATGACATAAAGCATCATTTTATGAGACTGGCATAACTCTGTCAAGGATAGTAAGAGAAAAAATTACATGTGAATCACACCCATAAGCATAGATGCGAAAGTCCTAAACAAATTATAAACCAAATCTGCAATATATGAAAGAATAATCTTCATAACAACATATTTAATAAAAGCGATTTCCCAAATAAAATCAGGATCAAGTGGGGTGAAACAAACAGCATTGCATATGTCTTCTCTGCTGGAGATAAAGGGAAATGAGCCAAAGGTTGAACCAGAGACCTGAATTGGAGGAACTTGCTAATGTTTGGGTGACCACTGAGCACAGAAATAGGAAGGTGTGACTGGGAACTCTTTAACTGATACTCTGACCTCTGGAAAGTCTTTGCCAGCCAGGATGACTCTGGAGACATGTAGAGTCATGCTGACCCTACACTTCCAAGAAGCCAAGACCTGATAATGAGACATGCCTTCAGGATGTGGTTGTGGACCCATCTGCTTGATCCAGCTTGTCCTTAAAGAGCAGCTTAATTTTAATTTGCTGCTGGCAGAGCCAGGGCCCTTGTGCTCTAATTCCTTCAGTCACAGGGTGTGTGTGAGCATTGCTGCTGACTCCAGCCGTAGGCCTCGGTCAAGTGGGACTTCTTTAAGTAATTCCAGATGAGCATTCCCATGTTTAGGACAACTTGTCTGAACCATTGTTGCTGCTCTTGACGCTGACTCTTCCTCCCTGTGGCCTGTGATACAATTTGATTGAAACCTAGGAATAAACCAGCCAGAGTTGTTTTTGTTTCCCTTTTCAAACTCCTAGCCTTCTCCGCATTACCACAAAGGGAAAAGAAGAAAGGGAGGGAGCAAATGTTCAATTCCTACCAGCTGCAGTTATTTGGGAACAGGACTGTGGAGGTGGTGAGCCCATCTGTGCTCCTCTCTCTCAGTGCAGTCTGAATACTAATTGCTCTTTTTCACTTTGCTTACTCCTCTAGAACAACTCTAGTTCCAAGAAAAAAGAAAAAGAAAACCTCTAGTTCCATAACTCCTCTTGATGTGACGGAGCACTCTCTGGAACCATTTCTCAGGCTGCCCCATGACGGTATTTTTGTTTTTTCAAAGTTATTTTTTTGTTTGTTTGTTTGTTTGTTTGTTTGTTTGTTTGTTTTGAGAGACAGAGAGAGAAACAATGTGAGCAGGGGCGGGGCAGAGAGAGAGAATCTCAAACACGTTCTGCACTGTCAACGCAGAGCCCAACACGGGGCTCAGTCTCACAAAGTGCAAGATCATGACCTGAACCGAAATCAAGAGTCAGATGCTTAACCAATTGAGCCACCCATGCCCCATTTTTATTTTATTTTTTAAAATCAGCTGCAGTTCAGCAGAACAGGGAGCTGAGGCAGGGTAGGCATATGGTGGGAACTACCAGCATGTGTTTGACTTACAGCTTAGCCTCCCTGCATCTCATCCGGCCGGGGACCATAAACGTTAACTCATCCAAACTTGTCCAAAACAGTTAAGAAATCCTTGGAGTTTTACTTGGAACATTCAGTGACAGGAGTCTTGTGGCCTATGCCTACCTCCGCAGTCTCAACTTCCTCCCTTTCCTTCTTGTTTGCTCTGCTCCTGCTAATTGCTCTGCTCTCTTCTTCCTTTGTCCCTCCAACACACCAAGTTCACTCCTGCCTCTTTGCTGTTCCCTCTTCCTAAAGCTCTTCCCGCAGGTCTTTGCATGGCTGGCTTCTCATGACTCAGGTCATGGCTGAGCACCTCACCTAGGTAGCCAGCTTCCCCCCACCCCACCCCCTGACTGCCTCTACCTTTTCCACACCCATCCCTCTCTACTGTGACCGGGGTCTATTTTCTTCACCGCACTTATCACTTTCTGAAATTATCCTATTTATTTACATGTATTTGTCTGTTTTCCCCAAAGTCAATACTCACTGTCAGCTCCCCAAGGGCAGGGGCTTTGTCTTGCTCACCGCAGTGTTCACAAGCCTGGCTCACGGTAAATACTGATTGGCTGGCTGATTGAAAGTGCCCTACATTGCGACAGCAATGCTCAATTAAAAGTTTATACATAGATCTGAAGTCTCCTTTCCTGTAACTTGCTCAATAGGGACGAGTAGCAGGAGAACAAAGCCTCTGTGACCCTCATTTTAGTGCTTAACAGAAAGGTCCAGACTTCATGAAGGTGACTTACTTAAGGGGAGTCGAAAAAAGAAGGAAAACCCACACAGTTTAGTTTGCTTTTCTCACTGCTTGTACCTTCCTCATTTCAAACCAGCCCAGCACAGCGGGATGTGCAGGGCTTTTGGACTCAGACAGGCAGGCTGGTTTTGCTGCTTGGAGTCTGCATAACCATGGACAAGTTACTGAGCCTCTTTGAGCCTCAGTATCCATAGCACTTTTATTGAAAAATCATTTTTAAGTGTATTAAATATGAAGGGCACCTGGGCAGCTCAGTCAGTTAAGTGTCCGACTCTTGGTTTCAACTCAGGTCATGATCTCACAGTTCGTGGGTTTGAGCCCTGCATAGGGCTCTGTGCTGACAGTGCAGAGGCTGCTTGGGATTCTCTCTCACCCTCTCTCTCTACCCCTCCCCCTCCTCTGTCACTCTCTCAAAAAAATACACTTTAAAAAATTTAATTAAAAAGTTTTTAAAATGTATTAAATGTGCAGACTCACAACTTGAAAAGGAGGGAGTCTGTCATTTATTTTTAAAACCATTTACAGCAAAATACAGCCAAAGAGTTTTGCTGTGTATTGCCTACAGTAGGAGAAGGACAAAAGACAATGTGTAGAATGACTCTGGTAGATGATAGATGTTCCATAAATGGTAGCTTTTATTAATAACTACTTCTGACAGAGCCTCTCCATGTCCAGTATTGTGCCTGGCCGTCTGGGGTCCAAACAGTTCCCTCCCCTCTAGGAGTGTATCATTTTGCTGGGACAGTAAGATGGATATACATGAGCCAGTGGAAAAAGAAGGTGACTTTCTAGGAATGAGGTCTTTCTTTTGGTAAGTGCCAGAACAGTTATAAAAGGGCTTGAAGTTGGAGAAAGAAAAGAAATACTGACTGGTTTTAAATTAAAACCACAGTGACCACAGACCTCAAGGATGAGGGTGATGAGCACACCAAGAGGAGACTGAGGGGAAACCTCCCACTACAAAGAGGCACACGTTATCTTGAAGCTCCTGGAAGGGAAGAAAAGCCAAAGGAAGGGTGAGTGTTTCATAATCTTGAGCTGGCAAAGGGGCACTGACAGTAGGACTCCAGGCGAGAGGACTGACCTCATGGGCTTGATGCACAGGACAGGAGTTCTAAAAACAATTCTGTCCCTCTTCATCTGATCCTGAGAGAAGCCCTAAACTTCACTTCTTGGCTCACCGCATCCTTGCTAGTAAATTAGTGCAAATAGATGCCCCCTTCCTGAGGGAACAGACTAAAGTACAATGGCGCTGAGCAACTTGGCCTGGAAGTTACCATCTATACCCAGTGAGGTGCAGCCGGCGCCCCTGAGAAAGCCTTCAGGTTCTGCCCTGCTCTGTGATAAGGCTTGGGGCTTCTAGAATGTCTTCCTGTGTTCTTTCTGTCTGTCTTTTTTCTTCCTTCCTTCTCTCTTTTCTCCCCCTCCTCCTGTTCTTCTTTTTCACTGGTATATACTTAGATTTCAATGTACCTCATCAGCCTCCCCCTGCTCGGCAAACTAACACCTGTTCGGTGGTTTGCTTTTTTTCTCATTGAACAATAAATCTTGTGAACCTCCCCAAACAGCCCAGACAAATCTGCCTCACCCTTTCCACCAGCTGGGGGGCACTGTGTTGTTGGGTGTGTCAGGATTTCCTTGCCAGCTGCCAGGGCCCTGGTTTTAATGGCACTTCCGAGTCTGTCAAGAGTAAAAAGCATTTCCTTGTCATTCACTGGCAGTACCTGTGCTCGCAGGGCCTCCTGTGTGCTGAGACATGGAGAGAGGTAGAAAGGCCCTTCCCTTGGGAACTCAGAGCCTCGCGGAGGAGGTGGGCATGTCGGAGAGGTCAAAGGACTATATCCCAGGTGCACACAGGGCTGTGGGGGCCCTCCCTTGGGACTCTGCCCTTCTCCCGCCTGACACTTCTCTGCCAAGGTAGAAGGCGAAAAAACAGCTGTCCTCCAGAATGTGGCCCTGGCTAAGGGTGTCCCCAGTCAGAGGAGGAAATTCTGTAGGAAGGAAGTAAACATCAAAACCCTGCTTCAAAGATATTACAGATAGAGCATGGGGTAGTCACCATCACTGTAAACTGTGGGGGAAGAGGGTGGTTTAGCAAAGGCAGGAGGCTCAAAAGGAATGAAAGAGAATGGGGCCAGGAAAGGTAACCAAAGCATCTTTAGCAGGACTGAGCCTGACACAGCCTCCCATTCCTGCCCGAGCCCTGGCGAGGTCACCCTCCTGGCACTCCGGATGGGGCTGCCCCTCCCATCCTCTTTCCTTGTTTCATCTGGATCCAGGAGGCCCTGGCGCAGGGGAATGCCTGCCCAGCCCTCTGTGGGTTCACAGTAGCAGCAAATCCTGCCCTGCAGGTGCTGTCTTCTGCACATGCTTGAACATGAACAGAGTCTCCAAAACTGTGTCACCTCCCTGGAAAATCAAGGGGTGGGGTGCTTTGGAAGGGATGGAGCAGACAGACACCGTAAAGGCTAGAAAGGCTGGGGAAAGGCCCACAAGAAGGGGCGGGCCTCATCTTCCGTTACTGTGTTAACCAGAACAGAGCAGGCACACAGAGGGCACTTGGCGTTTTGGAGGGAGAGGATTGGACTTACAGGGTTTCTTCTGGTCTGGCTCCACAGGGGAACGGTTTGCTGAGCCTTGAGACACCCAGAAAGTGGGTCTTCTTGGTAGCAGTGTTTATGTGTGGGGAGGGAGAGGGGGCTGTGTTTATTCTGTGGAGGCCCCGCTATCTCTAGGCTAGTGTTAGCGGAAGTAAGAGAAATACTTGCTGAACCACAATTGCCTGGCAGGGCTTCTCACCCAGTCACCCAAGTTCACCCAGGTTCACAGAGTCTTTGACAGCCCCATTGCTTTCGCAACAGGGCAACTGGTGGCTGGGCTTCACAGGTTCTCCTGATTTCTCACTTCCACCTCCTCCCGACAGGTACTAGTGCCTCCCGGCCTCACTCCTTACTTGCTAAGGAACCTGTCTGCCTCCAGCACCCCCATTGCCCCGCTGGTCCTCTAGCCCAGGTTGGAGGAGCCATGGGATCCTTCCCTGAAACACCGCTTTCCTCATGCCTCTCCCATTCCAGGCTCCCTGCTGCCTTCTGTGTTCAGCACAGACCTCCTGCCTGACTCCGAAGGGCACAGCTCCTGTCTTCCTCTGCCTGGCACGGAGCAGGTGCCCAGGTCAGGAAGGTGTTGTGTGATGGAGATGGACGATGGGGAAGGGTACAGGCTGCCCTGGCTTGGCAATAGACCATGACATCTGTCCGCTCGCCCTGATATGCAAGGACGATGGGCAGTGGAGTGGAACTCCACAGGCAGAGGGAATAGGGTGCCAGAACTGGGGGATCTTCACAGGGGAGAGTCAGCTTCTGGGGATGACTGGGCAGTTGTGGCAGTGAGGGTGAGAAGCAGGACAGGGAAGAGTTCGCTTTAGGGAAGAGAGAGGGGCTGGATTCAGATTCGTTGAGGTGAAGGTGGGGCAGCTGAGGCTAAGTGATGTTTCATTGGTGGCACCCACAGAGACAAGAGGAAGAGAAAGCACGTGTTTAGAGAGAAGATGGACCATCTGGGACATTTTGTATGGACTCTGCCAGGGAGGCAGTGAAGGAACGAGGAAAGGGTGCAGTCTGTGTAAGTCTAATAGCTTTTTCTGGTAGCACCCTCAGGCAGGGAGCAAGAGGAGAGACGTCAGGCCTGGGTGGTCCAAGGTGGTCCAAGGCCAGAGAGGAGATGGGGGAAGTCTCTCTGGGGAGGAGAAGTGCACAGTGGGAGGGATCCTTCCCCCCTTCACACCCCCCAGTGGGCGGTGCCCACCACTCACTGAATCCCTATTTTACAGACCAGGGACTCAAAGGCCAGAAGGTTGAGGTAAAGGAACTTACCCTGCATGGGAACAAACCCACACAGGCAGTAGAGGGTCAGAGCCGAGATTTAACCCAGATCCATGGGATTCCCACTCTCTAGGCCAGCATAGCACCAAAGAGGGGCCTGGAGTGGCTGAGCAGAAATGGGTATTAGGATCTAGAAAAAAGGCCAGGAGTGGTGGGGTCAACAGGATCACGAGACTATCAAGTGGTCTTAAAAAGCCACGTTGGAACCAAGGTGGAGGACAGATCGGGTAGAGCCTTAGCCAAGGGCTGAAGTCACCCCCACTGCTTCCTACAGCCTGTGGTCCCACTCTTGGTCTCCTCCTTCCTTAGCTCTGCCCCTCCCCCTCCTCAGACGGGCGCCCTACTTTTGTGTAGCCCCTTGTTCATACTGCGCTTACACATGAGTTTAAGAAGGCCAAGCAGAGCCCTGGGTGCATCAACTTGTTCATCTGAAAGGGGCAGGTGCCCACATGGGCCCCTGCCTCCTGGGGATTTGGCCTGAGGTGAAATTCCCAATCTTGCGCAGGAATCACCAGCCTGGCTCTGCCGCCCTGGATGCCAGCTGGCTCACCAGAGCAGCCCCGGCCCCTTGCAATCGCCACCCTGACGTCTAGGTGGCACCAAAGCCTCACACTGATTCCTCCCAGGTTGGGGACCCCGCCTGCTCCCGCTGACACTGGCTCCACTCAGCTCAGTGCGCGCTCTGCTTTGTGGGTTCAGTCCCTCCATGCACATAGGGGCTGCAAGCTTGTAATTCCTTTCTTCCTTCTACTCTGCCCCATCCCTGGCCCCCTTTGGGAGGAGGGAGGTGGCTTCCCCTCCCCTCTCATCTCTTCCTCAGGGACATCCCAAAGCAAGTACTCCGTCTATTCTTTTCAAATGTAAAATAGAATTTTGCTGAAAAGACAATACAGCCAATAACATGAAATTCATTTTAAAATATTTTTTTTGTTTTATTTATTTTTGAGAGGGGGATGAGGAGCAGAGGGAGAGGGAGACACACAGAAACTGAAGCAGGCTCTAGTCTCTGAGCTGTTAGCACAGAGCCTGATGTAGGGCTCAAACCCACAAAGCGAGATCATGACCAGAGCTGAAGTTGGAGGCTTAACCAACTGAGCCACCCATCACCCCTGAAATTCATTTTTAAACTTAAAAAAAAAAAAAAGTTATCAAAGCAGTATATTCATATGATTCAAAACAATAAGCTCCTGTTGAACCTCTTGAGATAATTAAGATATTGCAGTAATTAATCCACCCCAGCAACACCACAGGCATATCCACTTCTGCAGATCACCACCCATACTATCTGTTCTGAGACAGCTCTGATGTGTGGCGGGTTAGCAAAACGAGAAAGAATTCATTCATTCTGTCTGCCAGGATTTAGTGTGAGCCACCAGGCTGGGCACTGCTGGGGTTCTTGGAGATAGCCAGAAATTAGACAAGGGCCTTTCTGGCCAAGCGCACATCCCACAGTGGAGCCAGATAAACTCGGGAATGCCAGGTGCCAAGTCCTTGGAAAGAAAAACAGAGCAGGATTCGGGACGTGGGTGATGGGGAGGTGTCCGTGGTCTAGAAAGATGCTCTGAATAAGTGACTTTAAGCAGAAACCTAAACCCAGTTCGGGGAGAAGTTGGTGGGGAAGGAAATACACCTGTCTGTTGTGGAGCAGCCCCCTCCCCCGAAATGTTAGAGCCAGCAAGTTGGGAATCTCTGCTCTGCTCGGCCTTCTGCCAGCCCCCCACCACCCCAGGGTTTCCCCGCCTCCTAGAGCACCGTCCCCCTAGGAAGCGTGTACCCCTCACGTCCCCCGGGGCCCCGCCCCCTGCTGCCCCTCCCCCGTACGGCGCAGCCCCCCACCCTCGGCGAGCCCCCGGGCGGCCACCCCTACCCCAGGTGGGAGGCCGAGGCACGACCGGGGACACCCGTAAAGTTTCTGCGGCTCAAAGTGACGCAAAAATTCTTAAAGAGCTCTTTGGCGGCGGATATCTAGAGATCAGACCATGTGAGGGAACGAGAGTACAAATACGGCCGCTTGGGCGCCAGCTCCGGTACAGGCAGCGGCGCCCCTGGTGCCTCGAGGGCGCGAGGGTTGCCCCGCCTCGGAGAGCCCCGGACCAGCCTCCCCACGGTCTCCCGGCAGGTGGGTTCGCCTTTCC